TGTAATAATAATATTAAAAATAATAATAAGAACAGTAATATCGATAATAAAATATTACCATTATAAAGAATAAATCAAATTAAATGAAAATATTCATTAACCGGATATATTGAAATTTTTTATTATAAATGTAATTTCACAGATAGTATATTATATTACAATATATATTCTTCATGAATTAAATTTATAGTGCAAGGTGTGTGACGACAGGTAGGATACGAGTAATTCGCTGTCTATTAACAAATTTGTCATTCATTTGCAATGATATTATATTTTCGTCCCAATTTACAAAATCGTATCTCTCCTTCGAAATTCTGTATTATTTTTACTAAGCACAAAGTAAGGGAAACTATCATTGTATTGAAATTATTGATTTAAATAAGTTAGGGGTGAAATGATAGAGGATTTCACTGTTACATCTGATATTATTTAGAGTAACTGGGTTGTTTAGAGCCGCGATATGATCGAGGTGAAATATTGACTGTGAAATAGCCCAGCTCAATAAGAACTTTGCTCCGCTAGGCGTAAATTAGGTCTCGGTAGAGCTCGGACAGACTTCGACGTACTCTAGATTAACCATGACTCCACTGCACTCGTATCATTTCATTCCATGATAAGGGACCAAAGAAAAGAAATGAAGTTTGTCCCTTATCTACTTCATTATTTTCATGAAATCACTTTACCCTTTCTTATTCTACGTGTTAAACGCACCTATTACATTATTAAAATCTTGTCCATCGATACACAGGTTGTCCCATAAAAATCGATAAAGATTTCAAGTGGCAGATTCGTATGCAGCATGTTGTTCCACATTGGAAACTGAATAAAAAATGCGGAATGATGTTTCTTCGTTCGAGACTTCTTTCTCGAGAAAATCCAGTTTGAAAAGTTGATCTAAAACTTGGTTACGTTGACAGAATGAACTCGATTTTCTTGAGAATGAGGTCTTAAGTGAAAAAATTTTAATCTACATTTTTGTGCCATTTTTTTCGTGCAACTGTAGGATGTTCTGTGTATTTTTTATGTTTTATCTAATTAACCCTTAGCACTCGACAGCATGTGATAGTCATTTGATTTGAAGCAGCGAAATTGTAAAATTCGATATTCGATATCAAGATTTACGTATAATATAATTAAATATAAAATTATAATTTAGAATAATGGAAATTATAATATTTGATTGAACTTTTATTTCTGTTTAATGTGATCTACAACTTAATCAGTATTTCATTAGAAAATGATGAATATTAGGTCTGACAGAAAGTTTAGGCTGGGAATAGGTGATTAGCAAAATGGAAACTACATTCTAAAACGAGAAGTTTTCAAAACATTCTAAATCATCAACAGAGAAATCTAAATTATATACCAAATTCCTAAATACTAAAGGAAAAGAGAACTGTGCACCATCTGTCATTTGAATAATTCAATTATAAGTTAGTAACTTCGTATCTCAGATATAAAAGTTCTCCAAAATTGTCCTGAAAGGGTTAATAAATGTATCGACTACGTATTATTCTCTTTTAATTAAAAAATCGACTGAACTTCAAGGTAGACGTGTATGTACCATAGAAATGTTTGAGAGAAAAGGGTTAACGATAGTTGGAAAGAGTTAACTAGCAGTGTGCAAGTGTACCAGATAATGTTCCAGTAATTTATAGTGTACTGACGATACCTTTCATTGACTTCCTTGAGACAGAAGTTTGTCTAGTGGACTATCTAGCCTGCCTGCCACCTGATCCTCTATTAATTGCGAGCTTTGCTTTCACCCAGCCAGCTAATATGGCGTTATCGAACTCTACAGGTCGGCTGTGATGTTTCTCATCGGTGGCATTAGTATGCCCAGTCCTAAATCTGCTTTCTGGTCATTCAATGATCCCATTGTGTCGCTACTATCGCGAGTTCAAGATGGAAGATACTCGTCTGAATCTCTTAGCCTAGTTTCATTCTAATTGATATGCAAACGAGGCTTTTACGATAATTAGATTTTTATAGAGATTTTATAATTACATTTTATTAGATTCATTTATTATATTATTAGGTTATTAGTGTTACTATTTCAATTACTGCTTTATTGTGTTATTATAGATTTTTATGTTCTACAGATTTTGTAGTTATATTTTATTATATTAATTTGTTATACTATTACATTGGTACTATTACTATTTTAATTACTGTTTTATTGTATAAATATTTTTATTAAATATTTTGATATTGTATCGATTTTATAGAGATTTTATAATTATATTCTATTATATTAATGTATTATAATATTATAATATATTTCTGATATTTTTGTTTTAATTACAGTTTTATTGTATTATTATATATTTTATTATTATGCAGATTTTATATAGACTATAATAATGTCTTTGTAATATTATAGAGAACATAGAAATTTTATAATAATTACAATTCACATTTTATACATTTAAATTCTACTATAGTCTATATTCAATTTCTGATTTAATTGCTTGATAGCCACATTGCAAGTTTGGTGCCCGGAAATTTCAAATTAGGTAAACTGAAATTGACAATTCCTAATTTGACTTTGTAATTATATCTCACGTCTAGTCGACCGAGATATTTATAATGCACTGAAGTAACGTTTCTGATTTCATTTGGGTAATTGGATTCTGCTTGTCTCAGATGTTAAATTACATTTCATTGAACTGACATGTCTAATTTTATCCTTTGCTAATCACATTTTGCGTTTAATTAATTGAAATCCTGAATTTGACAGCTCATATGTGGGGCAGCTAATTTTACATTTGAGTAATCATATTTTAGGTTACCTCCTGTTAGGTCTTGAGTTCAATGTACTAGGATTGAATTGAAATAAGGTAGATGGAAATAAAATGGTCAATAAAATATTCCAGAATAACTGCAACAAATAATCTGTACGATAAAAGCTAATCTTTATATATTTCTTCTAATTTGTTTAATGTAATTTTCTGGAGAACAGTGTGAAAGTTTAGCAAGTACTATGTTCAATGCAGCTGACTACTCTGTCTGGATATTGCTCACTCTTTCTACTTAATACAAAGTCCTATTTGACAACAGTATTGTTTTTTTTTACTATTCACTAATTTAAATACATTTACAATCACTAAACACATATATATATAAGTTTGACAAATGCCAAAATTTATTCAGTATTTATTCATGTAAAATAGTATTACATTTTTTAATATTTCATGGTCTGAAGGTACTTTAAATTACTAAACTTCAAATCAGTTCAATTGAATTTTTCAATTGAGTTTTAATTCTAAATAAATGTATTTTAACTTTAACATAATTAAGTATTTATGAATATTTTATAATAACGAATCTCTATGAATACGTTTTAATTTACTCTTAAGTGTAAATAAATGAAGTTAATTTAAACCTTGAAATTTCTCGAATAAGAGTAATACTGTAAAAAAGAATAGTAAATACTAAATACTAAAATTAAGTAACATTAAGAATACAACGTACCAAACATAAATAGTACTACTAATACCAAATACCAAAAATAAATAATATTAACAACACCAAATACCAAAAATAAACAATATTAACAATACCAAATCTAAAACAAGCTGACATTAATAATACCAAACACAAAGTACTAAAGATAAGATCGTCCAAAGGCAATTTGCAACGAACATTGCGCCAGCTAATGCTATATTTACAAAACATCCGATTCGAACGTGAAACACCAGCTGATTTCCAAAGGTTCGGCTCGATCGTAAATCGGCTACGCTAATGTCGATATCGATAATTAACGCAGCGTACCGCGGAGCCTATTAATCGGCTTTTCGCACAATAGCCCTACGATGGTTCGATATCTATTAATCGGGGTTCGATTGTAAGCCGCGGACGTAGAACATACGCGTTCCTCGCTTGCAAGATAGTCAAGATTGATTTTCGTCGAATCTCTCTCGCTACACGCAACACACACTCGCCAACTGTGTTTCCTTTTGTCGAACGGTATACGATCGCCATGCCCCACTGTTTTCGTCTCGACATCATTTCCCATGGGCCGTCCATAACATCACCTATTCTCGAAACGTTTCGATAACCGCTAACCGTACACCGGGTATCCCACAAGTCGTAAATTAAAATTAAATTTTCATCGTGAACGTTCCCTAAACTGCTTGGAAAATAGATTCACGTCTTGGAGTGTGTTTGTTACAGTTGTTTGTTTAACTAATTCAACCCTTTACTGGGTGTACTAGTAAAATGTGGATATAAATTTTACGAATAATGGAAGGAAGTTCGTACACATTGTTGTAACGTATTAACTTTATCTATATTTACAGCTTTATGAATTATAGTTTTGTTGTAATAGTAGATGGACACTTGTAGGACACCCTGTGTGCAATGTATTATTTTTCTTTGAAAACCTCCATTGCAATTTCATTTAAATAATTTCGAGTAATATCTACGGCACACCTGAAAATAAATTTCTCCATCAAAAAATCTACAGGGTGTACCATAAGAAAATACAACTGTGTCTTAATAAAAATCATTTTACAAAACTTCGAAGAAAAATAGTTCAATTCCCATAGTCCCAAAAATCACGAACCACCACAAAAGAGAACCAAACGAAATCGCACACCCGTTACGTGGCATAACGCGATAATTTCCAAGGGTTAATCACAATAATTACTCGATACCTTTCAACCGTAATCCGTGCCCGTAGAACAATTCCAGCGGAGCTTTATCGGCGGAACTGCGTTATGGACGTTAAAAACAGAGTGCAAAAGGGGTTGGGTCTCGTTACCCTAATCACTTAATAATGATCGGGAGAAATGCCTGGTATGTGGGACGGCCGAACGAAATTGCGGATCGAACGAGGTCCGGCTCGAAAATGTTGATGAAACGTCACGCGAAAATACCATTAAAGACATATTTTTCATGGGTCGCCGACTGGCACGAGGGGAATCGGAAAAAAGGTCAGCCAGGGTAAAGGGTGAGGGAGTGAAGGTGGACCCGGGGGTAGTTTCGAGTGCACTTACCGTGGCACCGTCGCTCTCGTCGGTGAAGTTTCCCTGCTGAAGGGAGATGGAGTTCGTCTGGTTGCTGGTGCCTGGCGGCCGACCGCTTTTCCCCAGAAATTTCCCCGTCGCGCCCGAGTGTTTCGCGTCGTCCTTGCCCCCGCTACGGAACACCACGTAGGCCTACATTAAACAGGCAAGTTTCAGTCTGCTGCGGGACACTATTTTTCGTGGATCGCGGACGACCAGGCTTCGACAAATGGCGAAGTTCCCGGGGAACGATCGTGGAGTGGGAACGATGTACAGGGTGAACAATGGATTTTGTAGTGGGTCGATTTTTATTGTGTAACTGGTTCATTTGTGTTGGATCAGTCGGAATTTCGTACTGGATTAATTTTTATTTTCTGATTTTTTTGTTTTGTGTTGGATATATTTTGATTCTGTTTTAATTCAATTTTCATTTTATGGTGCGCTGGTTTTAATTTTGTATTGGATAAATGTTCATTTTCTAATGGATTAATTTTTATTTTGTATTAAGTCAATTTCCATTTTGTACTGCAGCAATTTTCATTTTATACTGAACCGATTTTCATTTCGTTCTGGATCAATTTTCATTTTGTCCTGGTTCAATTTTTATTTTATACTAAACTAATTTTCATTTTGTATTGGACAAATTTTCACTTCATACTGTATTAATTTTCATTTTGTGTTGGATTAATTTTCAGTTTCTACTGAACGAATTTCCATTTTATAATCAGTTCATTTTGTACTGAATCCATATTCACGTAGGCCTGCATTAAACAGGCAAGTTTCAATCTGCTGCGGGGCAGTATTTTTTGTGAATCGCGGACGACCAGGCTTCGACAAATGGCAAAGTTCCTGGGGGATGATGGTGCGGGGTGAGTATAATATACAGGGTGAACCATGGTATTTTGTAATAATATTTTGATTTTTACTTATATTAGTATAGTTCCTTTTTCAATGGTTATGAAATTCTTTCTAATTCATTTTGGAGGAACAAGAAATGTTTTTGTTGATCTGTTATGTAGATTTTGGATCATCCTGTGTGTACACGTTTATGATTATAGTATATACAGGAAGGAAGAAAATGGAATCATAGGTTTCAACGAAATTATGTACTGTTAGACTGCGGACTTTCATGTAAATTCAACTTTTCAAAAGAATTGCAATAAAAAAAATGTTCTCAACAGACATAAAAACCACTATACAATTTCGCATAAAAATCCACAGTCTACCAATTATTATTTTCCCAACAATCATCACATCACAGTAAAATCGTCTTAAACTCAACAAACAATCACATCAAACATCGGATACCAATGAAATCACTTTTGAAACTTTACCACCTCCAAATTGACAAATAACAAATAATAACAGAATAACAGATTAAATTACATTCAAACTTAATTAATCAGTAATCTCAATAATTCGTGTAATTGCATATAAGAAGAATAAACAAATAATAAATCCACTCTT